TATTTTTACTGAAGCCGATTAAAGGAACAAACCTTATGTTAATTATAGCTTTAAACGAAAGGAAAAAAACACAGATTAAGTTATGGAGTATTGATCCCACCAAAATTTGTGGTATAACTATGGACTAAAAAGTTTCATACAACTCATAATTTGTGAAATCAGTTTTAACCAAGTTTTAAGTTGGCAAAATAACTGATCCTTCTTAATAAATGAAGTTTTTTTTTTTTTTTTTTTTTTTTTTTTTTTTTTTTTTTTACCATATATCATCTTCTCTTTCATTTGAACAAATTACATTTTATAGAATTTTTGAAATTTTTTATTTTCCACTTGTAATTTTATTTTATTTTTCATTTTAGTAAATTAAAATTCCACATTTAATATGTAAGATAATATATATGTAAAGTATTTATTAGAAAAGATTTATATATGTAATGTATTCAATGTATTAAAGCCTCATTAATTTTAATAATTTAAATTTTTTCTCATTTTTTTTTATAAATTCAAATTTCTCAAATTGTTAAAATTTCATATTTAATTTTTTTTTTTAAATAAACCCATGTAATACATGAGTATCACATCTAATTCGTAATAAATCGTTCCTAATAAATCATTAATATAGCCAACATGATTCATGAACTGCATTGAGTTGATATTTATGACTCATCGTACATGAAACTTGGATAATAAACATAATAAACATTTTGGTTGATCCAAATCGAGTTATTGCCATGAATGGAATTAATTTTAACGTATAAACAAGATGATACACATTCCAATGGCAAATTTATAATGTCATTGTTACCTACGGACACCATGAAAAACAATGATTGTGGATTCTTCTTCTTTTTATTAATTTATAGGTTGAATCCACCTCTTACTAAGAATTAAACCTAAAACATATTTTGGAAGTATTTACGGTTCAAAAGATAAATTAAACAAGAATCACAAGATGAGTTTTAGGGTTCAACATGTGAAATTGAAAAAGGCGTGGATGACCAGTGAAGCATCAAAATTCAAATTAGGGAATATACTAGAATTTAACCATGAGCTTTGATACTGCATCTTGTAATTAAGGTGTAATCCAAGATCAATAGATACATATACATGAAGAACCCTAGATTAGTTGAAGAATACTTACTTGAAGAATATGAAGTCTCATTGATGTTGAAGATGACGATCTCCATATTATGATTCTTCCACTTCACATAATGATATCTAAATGATTGATTCTAATTGATTGAATCACACACTATGATGGTGTTTATACAGAGGTTTTGAGAATGCAAGAGGAAGAAATGACACTCCCTCTTAAAAACATACATCCTCTAAAATGTGGGTATTTATTTATCAATTACACGTTGGGTATGTTTGACACAAATTGTTTGGAATCGTTTGATAGCTTCTAGCTTCTATCGTTTGACAAAACGTTTTGTTTTAAACAGAAAGTCCCGTTTGACACTACAAACTTCTAGCATTTAGTTTAAACAAAACGCTTCAAATCCAACTGCTATTTTACGTAGCGTTTAACAAAACGATACCAGCTAGAACCTACCCGCTATCAGTTATTTTTGTCGAACACGCACCTTATGAAAAGTATATAGAACCATATAAAATTGGTCCCCCAAGTTATGTATAAATGTCATGTCTATCATACTACATAAATTAATTCTAGGACCTGATATGTCATATGATAAATATTATGGTACACGCTATAATTGTACTCGATGTAATAAACATTACAAGAATAATCTAAAGACCATACTAATGGGTTATTTTTCCAACACCACATATATAGTTCATTTAAGTATGAATGGCCAAATATCTAGTATGAAAACTCCATAGTATATATATATATATATATATATATATATATATATATATATATATATATATATATATATATATATATATATATATATATAAATGATGAACTATTTTAAACTATAAAACCAATGAACTAATTTTGGTGTTAGAGAAAAATTGATCAAGAGCCTAAAAAATGGTTGTACATTTAAAGGTTAGACACACATGCACTAAATCATAGCAAAAAAAACTCACCATATATTTTTTTTTATTATTATTATTTTTTTTAATTTTTAAGATTTATATTTTTATCAAAAACAAACCGAATATACCAAAATTCAAAAGTTTTTATCCTATTTTCATATACATCCATATTGATATATAAAAAACGGGAAAAAAATCGAAAAAACTCACTTCATTATTATTATTATTTTTAAAATTTGCCCTTATATTTTATCGAAAAAATAAAATAAATATATCAAAATTCATAATTTTTAGTACTCTTTAAATATACATTCATATCGATGTATTTTTTTTTCACTTTGCAGGGCATATTAACGTTGTGAATTAGATTCATACTGTAAATCTGATCTACGTATAATTTTGTTTTTTGAATTCACAATGTGAATCTGACTTACTATTTCAACACTTTTGATCATTCACAAATTAATTTAGTAAAATTTCGTTGTAGTTTTATAATATTTTAACGTTTTAGTTACTCGTAAATTGGTTTTGTAAAATTGACAAGTGAATTTATTCATAGTAAAAATATGAATTGTATATAATTTAATTTTAAAGATACACAATGTGAATTTGATTTACTATTATTTACACTGTGAATTTAAACTGTATATATACTACAGTTTTCAGCATTCACAATGTGAATTCGAGTTATTTTTTATTTGTATTTTTACTTTTTTATTAATGTCTATTTAAAGAGTACAAAAAATTATGAATATTGATATATTTATTTTATTTTTCGATAAAAAACAAGCCTAAATATTAAAAAAAAACTAATAATACGAAGTGAGTTTTTTTCTTTTTGAAAAAGAAAAATCATTTCTTGTATATCAATATAAATATCTATGGAAAGTGAATAAAAAATTATTAATTTTGGTACATTTGGTTTTTTTTTCGATAAAATAATAGTTGTAAAAATAACGAATAAAAGAAGTGACTTTTTGGTTATGATTCGATACATCTGTGTTCAACCTCTTAATGTGCATCCATTTTTTTCTTTGGCATTTGATCATTTTCTTTGTAACGATCAAGATTGGTTCCTTTGTTCCATAAGTTAAAATGATTCCTTATTAAACTTTTGCTTATATATCTCCCTATATAATACAATAGTCTTTTATTTCTATGTGGTATCTTCTCAGCTTATAATTTTATAATTTTTTAAAGTAAACTACTAAATATTCCCTTAAGACCTTCGGTCAAGATTTAATGGATACCTAGTATTAAGGAATTTAGAAATTTCAAATTTGAATCTTTAAAGTTTATCAAAATTCAACACTTATCATCGATTTTAATCATGATTTTCTGCATCTCAGCTCCTATCTCTCAGTTCTTAACTGCCTTAGATGGTTTGAATTAATGATGTTATTATGGAATTCAATTTTGAAATGTTGAATACCCTTATCTCTCCTTTCGTGATTTCCTTCAACCTGCAACTTAATGGGAGTGGCTTAGAGCTAATGCTACCCAATCCACTCTCCAAGTCCAATAATCTCTGCTCACCTCTTCATCTATCTATTAAAAGTCGATTGTATTTTTCTTCTTGGGTTTGAAATTTTTATGTGACGATGTATTATTTGTGTAGAGACCCTGAAAAACATCGTAATGCGGAAGTGATTAATGGGTTTGACGTATTCTTCTGCTTTACCTCTTGTCTCTTTGAATCTTCTTCTGCAACATTGGTTCTCGGCAACCGTTTTCACCCTGCTCCTGAGTATCACTTAATGAAAGAAGAGAACGGAATTGAGAGGATTTGGAAGGAAAGAAGAGAAGTTTGGGTGCTCCCGAGTTTTTTTTTTTGAAGAGAAGAGATGAAGAGAGCAGATTTGGGAGGATTTGTAACGTTCCAAACTTTCCTCCCAAAATGGGCGGAATTGGAGAGAAAGAAAACGGTTGGAAGATAAAAAGGTAGATTATGACGAAAATACCTTTTAGCCTAACAATAAATAGATATGCTCACTGATCAGCTTCTGCCTCGTCTTCTTCTCTGTTACAAACACCAAACACCAGGTACCCAATTTCTTCTTCAACTGTTTTTTTTTTTTTATATATCCTTCTGTATTCTACCTGATTAGGCTTCTGCCTTATGTTTGTTGCCCAATTTCTTCTTATTTGTGTTACGGGTTCTGCTTCTGTTATGACTTCTGCCATTTTTTTTGGTTAGACTATGTATCTGTGTTGTATTATAGCACTAATTAATCCCATCAAACTGCTTACAAATTTTTTTTATCAATGGGACAAAAAATTGTAATATTTTGTCCCTCCTAAAAATTGTAATATTTTGTCCATCTTTTGTTTATAATAGCAGAGAATTTTACCTGTAACAGGTAATACCCTTAACTTGAAATGTTCAAACTGCTTAAAGATAATATAGAGTTAATAGATAATATAGAATTTTACCTGTAACAGGTAATATTTTGTCCATCTTTTGTTTATATAGTTTGTATCTATTACATGGATTTTAAGAAAAAATATATATAATTTTATGGAGTAAACTTATGGATCTGCATGTCCAAGTCTACAAATTTCACAAACAATATGCTGCCACAGGTTGCTTTTTTTTATCTTCACACAGAGAAGACTGTTTTGCCCCTAGATTACATTTAACTTTTATAACAAAAAAAGTTTATTAATTATAATTAATAAATCAACTCTTTATAAATACATGTTATTTTTATCAAAATGACTGTTTTGCCCCTAGATTACATTTAACTTTTATAAAAAAAAAGTTTATTAATTATAATTAATAAATCAACTCTTTATAATTACATGTTATTTTTATCAAAATGATTGTTTTGCCCCTAGATTACATTTAACTTTTATAACAAAAAAAGTTTATTAATTATAATTAATAAATCAACTCTTATTAATTACATGTTATTTTTATCAATGTTGTTTAAATTTAACTTAAACTATATGATCATGTATCAGAAAAAACGATTAGTTCATATTTAGTCCTTATGGATGCTCCGGTACTCAACCCTGCTCATGCTTTAAGAGCCCGACAATTGCAAGTCGTTAACTTGATTTGCTTGTTGTTGACTTTTATTACACAACGTAATATGGCCAACAAAAAGCAGGTTAGATTACCCACTAGAAAAGTTATTTTAGAAGGACAAGCTGTACGGGAAGAGTTGCTCCACAATCTTTTAAAAGGTGGTCAATGTCGTGACCTTATTCGTATGAGTGAAAACGCTTTTAGGAGATTGTGTGAAATCTTACAAACTGTAGGTGGTCTACGACGTACGCAACGCATGTCCGTTGAGGAACATGTTGCTAGATTTTTGCATATTGTAAGTAATGATTTGCGAACTCGGTTTACCTCGTGGATGTATCGTTGCTCTAGATCAACAACGAGTAGGTGCTTCCATAGAGTATTACGATCGATTATAGCAATAGAAGGTCTTTATGTTCAGCAACCTACAGGTGATGTTGTCCCGAGAGAAATTCAAGAAAGTACGAGATTTTATCCTTTTTTCAAGGATTGTATAGGGGCAATAGATGGAACACATGTTCGTGTCCATGTGCCTAATAGAGATGTCCCTAGATACCGTGGTCGTAAGGGATACCCGACAATAAATGTATTAGCTGCTTGTATATTTGATTTGAAGTTTACGTATGTTTTAACGGGTTGGGAGGGTACTGCATCAGACTCGAGAATAATAAAGAACACATTTACTAGAAATGATAAACTGCTAATTCCATCAGGTAATTTATTAAACCAATGTAATTTCAATATCTAATATTTTTCAATAATATTGATTAAGCTCTTTATAGGTAAATACTGTTTAGTAGATGGGGGTTTGCCTCATACGGATAAACTAATGGCGCCATATAGAGGTGTTAGATATCATTTAAAAGAGTACTCCATGCGTGGTCCACAAAATTCTAAAGAGTTGGTTTTTGAGATTAATTATGTTATTTACCCTTCATATTTTTTATTAGTATTATCCTTCATATTGTGGTTTAACAATGTACCATTCTTTAATTTTTATTCCTATGTGAAAAGTCATCATGATCAAACAGGAAGCTGGTGGTAGTGAAAAGGAACAAGTTAAATGGTCAGAAATAATGGATTATGCGTACATCCAAGCGATGATTAAACAACAAGAGATAGGCAATAGGGTGAATGGTAGTTTCACACCAACTGCATATGCTCAAATGGTTGAGGAATTGAACACAAACCATCAAATGGATATTACCAAAAGTCATTTGAAGAATCGCTACAAAACCTTAAAAAACATTTTTCGCAATGGTACGATGTGTTTAGGGGAATTTCTATGAGCGGGTTCTCTTGGAATTCGTCTACTCAACTAATAGAAGCGGAGGAAGAAGTATGGGATAATTTAATAAAAGTAATTGTTCATTTTATGTCTATGTTATTTTTTAAAAATATTTTATGTTATCATTTGCAATACTAATTATTTTTGTGTTGTTATACAGTCAAAACCTGAGGCTGTGTCGTTAAAGACAAAAAAGATTGCATACTTCGATGAGATGTTGATGTTATTTGCAAGGGATAGGGCATCTGGTGCACATGCTGAGACAGCGAAAGAAAGAAATGCCCAATTAAATAAAAATGAAAATATTCAAGTTGAAACAATTAAAGAAGTTGATGACATGTTAGCTAACAATGAAATTCATTTGGAGAACGAATATGTTGATCTTGATGATAACATTCAGGATGTTATTCCACCTCCTTTTTCACAAGAACAATCTTCATGTGCAAAGAAGTGTAAGAGTAAAAAGAGGAAATTTGAAGACGACGACGAAGAAGAAGATATTAACTCAAAGATAATGAAATCGGTTGATAATGTGGCTGGTGCTATCAGGGAGGGTAATATAATTTTTGATAGAGCTTATCCTCGGGAATATACAGGGGAAGAAATTTATAGAGAATTGGAGTTGGTGGGTTTGGAACCCCATGAATTACCGAGGGCTCTAAATTTTTTGGCAACAAATCAAGCAAAAGCTAGGACATTGTTCAGTTGTCCCCTTCATATACGGATGGGTGTCCTCAAAGATATGATGGGTGCACGTGATTAAATAACCTTGGGTGATTGTTCCTGGATTGATCTAATGCGTTTATGATTTTGGTTTTTTTTTTTTATTTTTTTTGAGTTGTTTGTGGTTTTCGTTTTGCATCTTGAAAACAATTGAATAACATGCGGTTTCCCTTTTTACAATTTACTTTATGTTAAAATAAAATTGTTTTGTTAATGTTTTAAGTAGAGGGGAGGAAGGGAGAGTTGGTTTTTTTGGGGTAGGGGGTACGGTAGAATGAATGTGGGGATGTAAAGACTTAATATTTACTCAAAAACATAAAAGGGTATAATTGTCTTTTTTTACTTTCTTTTCTTTCCTTTAATGAACTCGGGAGCACCTAAAATGAATACTCTCTTTTCCTTTCTTTCGAACTCGTGAGCACTGAATACTTTATTATTTCCGTTCCCTTCCTTTTCCTTTCTCTCCTTGTTCTTCCTTTCTTTTCTTTTCTTTCCTTTAGTGAACTCGGGAGCAAGGTGTTTGTACAGATGTAGCTAAAGGAGTCGATTTTATCTCCTTATTGTTATCTCCTTCCATAGTTATCAAGCTCCTTATTTTTAGCTTTCTCTTAGCTTTGTTTGCTATGTTCTTCTCTCTCTCTCTCTCTCTCTCTCTATATATATATATATATATATATATATATATATATATATATATATATATATATATATATATATATATATATATATATATATATATATATATATATATATATATATATATATAGTGTTTCAGAATGAATGAAAGATATACTTTTGAACCATAAGAATTCTTTAAGGTATCAGAGCGGTTCGATGAATCTGCCTTAAGAAGACACATCCACAACCAACCATGGCCGGAGATGAAGTACCACCACCAAAGCACGATGACAAAGTCATCGATGCTAGTTCACTATACTATGTACACGCTTCTGATTATCCAAGATAGATGCAGGTTAATGAGGTCCTTACTGATAGCAATTACAATGATTGGGCATGGGAGATGAAAAAAAAATTGTCGCCAAAGACAAAGCTGACTTCATCGACGATAGCATTAAGAAACTAGAAGAAGGAGCCCAACATTACATGCCATGGATGCGTTGTGACGCCATGATCAAGGGTCGGTTAACCATCGCAATAGAAAAGGACATCCGATTTAGTGTGTATTACGCGAACACAACAGAAGACATCTAGAAGGATCTTGAAGAATGATTTGGAAAGGAGAGTGATCCCAGAGCATATTAACTAAAGCAATCCCTTACCACCACTCAATAGGACGAAGCATAGATTTCTGCCTATTACACCAAACTGTGCGCCATCTGGGTTGAGATCCAATCAAATTTAGCCGCACACCTCATTGTACTTACTCCAAACTGTACCTGTGATGTTGGATGTTGGAAAAAGACTAACTGAAGCTAAGGATAAAGAAAGGTTATATGAGTTCCTTATAGGACTCGACAACGAGTACTCCACCAATAAAACCCAAATACTCTCTATGAAGCCAACATCCAACCTGGGAACTGCCTATCATTTTGTTGCTGATGATAACCAAAGACTAACCATTTAAGTAGCCGCCTTCCAAGCCTTCGTTCCTAATCGATGGGAAAACAACCCCAACCATAATCAACAAAACAAGAAACTGGTGTAAAAAAAATCAAACGTGGGAACAATGAAGAACCATAACAATGCAGTTTATGTGGGAAAGGGGTCATAATAGGGAATGTTGCTTCAAGTGTATTAGGTACCCTAAATGGTGGTCGGTCGAAAACAAGACAAAGGCAGGACAAGAGCGTCTTGCATGGAAGCTGTACCTAGCCTAATACCGGGACTAACACCAGAAAAATACCAAAACCTTGTCAAACACTTTTTAAAGGAAGATAAGGCAGAAAACATCGTCCTTACAATTAATATGGTTGCTAAGGCAGAACACGATGACACTTGGGTTGTTGTTTCAGGTGCCACCAAACACATAACCTTAATAAAAGCATTCTAAAAAATATGACAAAAAATTATTTTGAAACCCCTGTTACCATCCCCAATGGTGATCTTTTACCTGTCAAGGGAAAAGGAAATTGTAAATTGAAAAATAGAATCGAGATCAATAGAGTCTTGCATGTTCCAAATTTTAACTACAATTTAATTTCTGTTAGTCGTCTTACTAAAGATTTGCAATGTCCAGTGACCTTTCTTCTTGGCCTTTGCTACATCCAGGACTTACGTTCGAGGAACTTGATTGGCACGGGTGAATATATACAAGATCTATACTGGATTGGGATGATGGCTAGACAAAATAAATCTTTGACGACAATATCTAATGTTGATATTTGGCACAAGAGGTTAGGTCATGCTTCCGAGTCTAAGCTTATCCAAGTCGACTTTTTGGAATTTTCTTCTAGTTAATTGAGGAATAAAGTTTATGATTCTTGTATTAAATCTAAACACACTAGGCTTCCTTTTCAAAATAGTTCAATGAAAACTAACAATTGCTTTGAATTAATACATTGTGATGTTTAGGGTATATATCGATCACCTTTGCTATCAACTGCTACTTATTTTCTCACCATCATAGATGATTTCTTTCAGTAGAGTCGTCTGGGTATAACTTCTTAGACAAAAGAGTGAGGCAAGGACCTATCTAATGAAATTTCATGAAATTATGAAAACAAAATTTGAAAAGAACGTAAAAAGGATAAGAACGGATAATGGTGGCGAGTTTATATTAGGAACTATGAGAGATTATTATGCCAAAGAAGGTATTGTCTAAGACACTACTTGTCCTCACTCCTCACAACAAAACGGGTGGTGAAACACAAGCATAGTGTGACAACCCATAAAATATGTCCTCAGTCATCGTTAGTAGTCAACGTCAAAACACGATAATATAATCTTGTAAACGTCTAATATTTTCGACTATCACCCTTATTCACGTCAAACCATAGGCTGAAAAATAAGTGCACAAAAGTCGCATCACTTTGAGAGTAGGTTAGCATAATTACTCTTTAAGCTACCACGATCCCAGAAATATAAGTTTCGCAGCAACCCGACTCAATACGAGGGAAATACAGCTATTGAAATAAATAAAATTTTGTCGTACTTAGAAAGCTACTACGACGAAAACTACAAGGAGATTGGTTCTCTTTCGGGGAAAGTCACCAACTAGATAATCGTAGTACTAATTAAAGTAGAAATTATGGAACAAAGAACGCCTAAAATGGAATTTGTATGAAAAAGTCCTGATTTTTATACAATCATTACAATAGCAAAAAGTAGTCGAAAAATAAAACTCAAAACTAGCAAAAACGACGAAAAGGAAAGTAGTAGAAAACGATAAGATCTACAAGGGATTCATAGAAAACGGAGTTCGTACGGGAGACTTACAAATTTTTAAAGATAGGAAAACATCATCGCGTGCACTCGCGCACCATGCGTGGCTTGCTTTCTAACACCTTGATCCTCTAGGATATGAATGACATGGAACCATAGGTAGAGAACATGTGTCAAAATCAGGGTGGTTCATGCGCATATTGCGCGGTGCGCAATGCGTGGCGTGCAACCCAAACCCTCTATAAATAGCAAGTCTCGGTTGATATTTTCTCACACTTCAACACAAACATCTCTCTCTCTCTCTCTCTCTCTCTCTCTCTCTCTCTTAAAATTCATGCTAACAACTCCCAAACGCTCTCTAGTGTCGGACGTGTGGTTTTCCTACCCTACATCCATGTTTTCATGAAATACAGGTGAGTTCAAGACCCGGTTTTCCAAATCTTTTTTTTTTTTTTTGGGGGGGGGGGGGGGGGAGGGGGGAATACATGTTTAAAATGAAACATTACGTAGCTATTACTAATTGTAGTTAGATAAATATGCTCATAACATTAGGATGATATTATGCCTAGTAGATACTTTTCCCAAACCTTTTACCTAATATTATGCCTAGCTGTTATACTGAACCCCAATGATAGATAAGATCATACCTAGCTGTCATGCTGGCCAATTGCTAGGAAACACTAAAACTTGTTATTTTAGCCACCCTTTGGATAAGCTTAGTACATAGTGTTACTCTTCCCAAATACTTGGCTACGCAAAACACACTAATTATATATATATATATATATATATATATATATATATATATATATATATATATATATATATATATATATATATATATATATAGCAGATAAATAATATATATAATAAGTAAATCCGTATACATACAACACAAATAACAACATGACCGATAAGGGGAACCCCCCACAACAAGAGTTAGATGATACACGATTCATCAACATGCTGATAGATTTTTAGCTAGCTCCCAGCCTATAATCGTTAAATCTTAAGTGAGCGGGAGAGATATGTATAGATCTATACATGATTGACACTCCCACACGTGGTTGTTATCTACAACTCGGCGACAATTCGAAGCAGGCATAACTTTCTCAACACATAGCAACGTCCGATGAAGCGTCGTGGTTTTCGGGATCAACAGTCATAGCTCTATTATAGGAATTCATTGTAACTTTGTTAAACTAAAACTAAACTATCATATACTACTAATACATTATGTAGTGATTATACACTCAAACTCTAGGAAATGAGTTTCAAATACGATCATTAAACTAAATATCCACTATTCTTGAGGAACGACTGGAGAAGTAGTGTTGGTAGTACGATAAAAGGAGTATTAGGAGAATATTATTAGAACACTAACCATAAATTAAAGTAACAAATAAAAATATACATCTTCTATCCAAATTAGGATTCACATTTAGTCATTAAACAATCTGAATCCCATTATCAAAACACTAGTAATTACGCTAACATGCTGACTTAGGCCGAGAATACAACGAGTGCTAGCTTACGAACTTCGAGAAAGTATTTTCATGCTTACCAAACCTATGAACTCACCAACATTATGTTGATCCTCTTAAAATCACATGTATTCCTAGGTCAATAACAAAAATAAAAGAATACCCAACCAAAGAGTATAGACAGCTCTCATACTATCGAAAAAGATGGAGATTATTGACAATACTCTAAATGAAAGCCTTTTACATAAGTAAATATCCCTGAATGTCGTGCCACTCGGTGTTTCCGCCATTAGTCTGAGGGTGTGACAGATTGGTATTAGAGCTTAAGTGTTATAGCAAATTAGTAATTCTTCAGGAATTTTAACTATAACCTGGGGACATATATTCTATAAAGATCTATCCTCATATGTACAACTAAAAGTATTATTAAATACACTACCGATAGACTATTATGGGAAAGGTGACTAGTCTGAAGTGTTGCTGAGGTTGCTGGATTTCAGAATGGTTATATGCTAAAATGGTTCTGCCTTGCGATACTTTTAACTTAAATGATCCTTATTTGATAGTCTTGAAGTACAAAAACAAAAACTAATAAAATACACAAGAAATAAAGATTTTAGATTAAGTACCCTAAGTAAGTTTGTTAGTACACTAGCGAAGCCAAGACTAGACATAGAACTGATCAACTATATTTTATTTAGATGGGTCAAATACACTACTAAACCTATATATGGTAATTAATAGATTAAAATCTTGAGCTATCCAAAAGGGCATAAAACAAATACAATGATAAACCAACCAAGATATAAAAATATATACAATACCAAAAGAAATTTACGTAGATACATTGTCAAGTCATCTTCCAAAAAGAGGGCATAAATGCCCATACATCACCATTATAATAATAATAATAATAATAATAATAATAATAATAATAATAATAATAATAATAAGAGTATCAAAAAAGTAGTCTACATACCTAAAAGCAAAAACAAATAAACATAACTAATCATCATATTCCTCATCATCTCCATCACCATAACCATCGTCATCACTCCCATCATCATCGTTGTTGTTGGCATTGTCATGTATCCCTAATGTGCCCACCCCCATCACTCGGTCATTGTTAGGGAGGATAAGCGAACCAATCGCTCATAGCCCCCGCCATCCATTACTAGCAATGGAAGACCTCATAAACCTCCCTACTCAACTCATCCATACACCTAAAGAGATAGGATATATCCATCTCAAGCTATAGACCTCGTTGAGCAGTAGGGAGAGTGAAATGAACTCGTTGCTGACGATAACCCTGCTCAAACTCTCGTTCCTCTCCATGCATCGACTCCACCTGGCGGATAGGAACAACAACGTCATCAGTGGGAATCCTCAAAATCTGATCTGGTCCACGTACAACTGCTCGTAACCGCCTCAGAGTCTCCTTGTACAAATCTCGGATATCATTATGAGTCATCCCATAGGTATCAACCCTATAGGACTGAGCTAAATGGTTGATGAATTGGACACTACAGATCTTGATCCACGGCTGAGTGCCCAGAGCTAAACTGGAGGAAAGAAAGGAGGCAATGGTGTAAGGAATGTGAAGGTGAACATTGGAGTGAAGAAGGCACCACAAAGGAAAAAGGTCGCCTGAAGGGACCTTATCGTGCTCCCCACGATGGTGAATAGTGGAGGCGATCAGATGGTGCATGAACGGTACTAAGGATATCTAAAACTACTATCCTTCACCAACCTCGATACGTACTCTCCGATGGTTAGGGACCAGATATTTAAATGGTTTTATTCCCTCGGTTTCGAGAGAATATTACTATCCAAATAGGACTCCAAGAAAGGATGATCAACATCCTCGGGAGAATATATCCCCAATCGATGCCCGAACTCTATCAAACTGCAAGAACGGGCAACTCCACCTAGCCTGAAAGACAAGGCTGAACCATCTAACTAAACCCTAACCTCCTAGTTAAACCAGATGATGGAAAGAAACTCAATATAGAGCTCCCTAAAGATAACCTCCCGGAACCCCAAAACGTGGCGATAGGCAGACAGGTTGCTAAAAAATTAGATGCAAACTGGAAAATGAAACACAAATCATTAAGTGAAAGCAAGAAAAAGAATTGTTTTAGGAGAATACCCCTAACATGGTAGCAACCAAGAAACATCTACCAAAAATTCATGAGCGTCCAGTCAAGATCCTTCCATAAGTACAAAGGACCAACTAGCTTAGACCCTTAGGCAAAAGAAATAGAAACAATCCTACAGACCCACAACGGTTTTAAGAAGAGTTTAGTTAAGATTGCCACATATAGTATATCACTTAAATAGTAGAATACTAAGATCCAAATTTTAGGAATAAATACTGCATCCCCCATTCTTTAGAGAATCACAAATAACTTGATGATTGTAGAACTCTACCCACATAAGTAATCCCAAAAGTGGGAACACATGTCAAATCTAGTGTAAGTATAAGCATCGCCTGCTCGACAATGATAGGAATTTGATGAATGAAGGAGCACACAAAAAAATAGAACCCCAAGGACTTGAACACTCACTAGGATTAAGAAGTCCCAAACCACTTATTATAGGACAAGCCATTTTAGGGCAAGACACATTGTAGCCCTAGAGGAACTCCCACTCCATGAATCCATACCTATACCACCATACAAAGAGAACAGAAAACAAAAGTCTAAGACATAAAGGGCCAAAGAACCAGGAATCGTAGAGATTCGAACCTCATAAAAACTACTACTAACACAAGAAATTACCCATAGACTTGGTTAGGATGTGTATTAGGACAATCATTCAAACAAAGAAAACTATGAAATTCATGACAAACCATCAGGTTAAGTAAATCTGCAACATTTCAAATACATCCCACCATTTAGTTAGAAGTAGAACCATGCGCAAACTCTATAAATGCCAACTAAAATAGGTCAAGTATCCAACAAAATTAAAACTCATTAAAACACTTATGGACGTTACCATAAGCCCCACGAAAGAAATCAAAACAGTTCCAAACCTCATTGCAAAAAACAAACCTTAAGAAGAGAGAATACTTCTATAAAACTACGCCGTAGGTATAATTCCATTAAGATGGTATCAACCAAGTGCCATCATGTCAGGCATTACCAATCGAATTTCGAGGACGAATTTTCCTTCAACACGGGAGGATGTGATAGCCCATAAAATAGGTCCTCAGTCGCCATTAGTAGCTAACGTCAAAACACGATAATATAATCTTGTAAATGCCTAATATTTTCGACTATCTTCCTTTTTGATGTTAAACCATAGGCTCAAAAAGAAGTGCACAAAAAGTCGTGTCACTTTGAGAGCAGGTTAGCATAATTAGACTCCTTACGCTACCGCGATCCCAGAAATATACATTTTGTAGCTACCTGACTCAATATGAGGGAAATATAGCTATCGCAATAAATAAAATTATGTCGTACCTAGAAAGTTACAATGACGAAAACTACAAGGAGATTGGTCGACTTTTAGGGAAAGTGGCCAACTAGAGAATCGTAGTACTACTTAAAGTAGGGATTATTTAACAAAGAACACATAAAACGAAATTCGTAAAAAAAGTTATGGTTTTTATAAAATCCTAACAGTAACAAAAACCTACTCGAAAAATGGAAGTCAAAACCAACAAAAACGACCAAAAAGAAAGTTGAAGAGAACGCTAAGATATACAAGGATATATAAGAGTCGTAGAAAATGGAGTTCGTATGAGAGAGTTATTGATTTTTAAATATAGGAAAACATCCTCGCATGCACTCGTGCACCATGCGCGACGCGCTTTCTAAAACCTTGATCCTCCAGGATATGGATGACATGGTACCATAGGTACAGGACACGTTTCAGCATCAGGGTGGTTCACGCACATATTGTGCAGCACATAATGCCCGATGTGCAGCCCAAACCCTCTATAAATAGCAAGTCTCGGCTGGTCTTTTCTCACACCTCAACACCTCTCTTTCTTTCTCTTAAAATTTGTGCCAACGACTCCCAAACGCCTCTTTAGTGCCGTACTAGTAGTTTTTCTACCCTACATCAATGGTTTCATGAAATAAAGGCGAGTTCACGTCCCTATTTTAATATTTTCGAGGGGGGGTACATGTTTAAAATGAAACTTTACATAGTTGTTACTAATTGTAGTTAGATAGCTATGCTCATAACATTAGGATGCCATTATGCCCGATAGATACTCTGCCCAAACGTTTTAGCTAATATTATGCCTAGTTATTATACTGAACCCGAATGATAAATAAGATCATACCTAGTTGTCATGTTGTCCAGTTGCCAGGAAACGCTAAAACTTGTTATTATAGCCACCCTTAGGATAAGCTTAGTACCTAGTGTTACTCTGCTCAAATACTCGGCTACGCAAAACACAATATATATATATATATATATATATATAATAACTAAACCCATATAAATACAACATAAATAACAATATGACCAACCAGGGGAGGCCCCCATAACAAGAGTCAGATATGACACGATTCATCAACACGCTGATATGTTTTCAGCTAGCTCCCTGCCTATAATCATTTAATATTAAGTGAGTGAGAGAGATATGTATAGATCTGTACACGATTGACACTACTGAATGTGGTTGCTAGATACAACCCTACGACAAGTCGAAGCAAGTATAACTTTCTAAACACATAGTAACGTCCGATGAAGTGTTGTGGTTTTCGGGATCAACAGTCATAGGTCAATTATATGAACTCAATGTAACTTTGTTAAACTAAAACTAAACTATCATATACTACTAATACATTATGTAGTTATAGTATACTCAAACTAGAGGAAACGAGTTTCGAATACGATCACTAAACTAAATATCCACTATTCTTGAGGAACGCCTTGAGAAGTAGTACCTACAATATGATAAAAGGAATATTATGAGAATATTATTAGAACAATAACCATAAATTAAAGTGAAAAATAAAAATATACATCTTCTATCCAAATAAAGATTCAGATTTAGTCATTAAACTATCTGAATCCCATTACCAAAACACTAGGAGTTACGCTAACATGTAGACTTAGGGTGAGAATACAAAGAGTGTTAACTTAAGAACTTCGAAAAAGTATTTTCATGCTTACCAAACCTGTGAACTCACCAATATTATGTTGACCCTCTAAAAATAACAATTATTCCTAGGTAAATTAAAAAAACAAAAGAATACCCAACCAAAGATTATGGAAAATTCTCAGACTACCGAAGAAGATGGTGATTAAAGAAAATATTCGACATGAAAGCCTCTTCATAAGTCAACATCCCTAAACATCGTGTCATTCGATGTTTCCGCATCAGGCCAAGGGTGTGGCATATAGACATATCCTTGAAATAGCTTGGGTCTAAAATTTAAGGCTATTCTCTTTGTTAAGTTTTAGGGTGAGTGTGTCGTGACCGCCACATACATTATAAATAGATTAACTTCAAAGATCATAAATCATAAAACCCCTTATGAAATAGTTTTTGGTCAAAAAACAAATTACGACCACATGAAGGTTCTTGGATGCCTAAATTATGCAAGGAACATTGATACAAAGGGGGAGAAGTTTTGTAACACCTTAAAAATTTGAACAATTTTTCACTTTTGAAAACCATAAAATATCATTTGTAATCATAAATAAAAACATTGTGTCAACATTGTATCAGTACAAAACCCACAATCAAAATACATAAACTCCGGTGTGCGTGTGTACGAATCATGCCGGCGCCTTCCCGCGATCATCACTGGTACCTGTAACACATAACACATAACACTGTAAGCATAAATGTTTAGTGAGTTCCCCAAAATACCACTCTAACACATAATAGCCACTTGAGGCTGTAACTCTGTTGACCCTCAGGTCTATGTGTCTCAGTGGGGCCCTCCAGCCCCAACTCCCTATGGGCCCTCTGGCCCTAACTCTGTGGACCCGAAGGTCCTAACTCAGGGGACCCGAAGGTCCTAACTCTATAACTCTGAATCATGCATAGCACATATCACAATAAATCATAGCACATAAATAACATGCAATTACACTGCATATAACTCTAAAATACTCTATCACATAACTCTGTTACCACACTAGGTAAAGTATAGTGAGAAGAATCACCTCGGGTATCTCAGTAATCTCTGACTCGGTAACGCTAGTCTAACTTCCGCCTAATCATATAAAATAAATACCCTAATTATTATAACTCTCAAAGGCTAGACTATGTCCTATTATGACACTCTCAGAAGGGTAAAAGACCATTTTACCCCTCTCACAACTCAAAAGGCCCCACAATAGACCATACCCTAAAAGTCAACTTTCTGGGTTACGCTGCACGTACCAGATATGTACGCTGAGCGTACCCGGCTGCATCTTAGGATCGGGGAACGCCACTCAGTACGCGGCGTGTACTGGGATTACGCCCGACGTACTTCCCAGCTTCAGCCCCTTAACTCTTTAGGTCTTAAACAGTTAAGACTCACATCCAAATTCTAGATCTGACCACATCTAAGCCTCGTAATCTATAAAGTTGATGACTTTATGCCTTTGCATGGCTGAACAAGCCACCAACTCCCATAATATTCCATCCTCTAACCCTAGAAGGCTTATTACTCAAGCATGACCTCAAACTAACACTAAAGATGGAAACTTTATGGCTCTAAATCACTAATAGCACTGAATGGGGACAGATCT